TCACAAAATGTTTAGAAATACATTTAACAAAAGATGTGTAATTCTTCAGTTAAAAAAAACATGCTAATGTTTATTTTAAAAGACCCAAATAAATGGTAAAATATATCATGTTCATGGATTGGAAGATTCAATATTGTTTTTCCATTCTTCTCAAATTGATCTATAAATTCAATTCAATCCCCATCACAATCCCAAACTGGCTTTTTAAAAAATATATAAATTTGAATCTAACTATAAAATTTATATGAAAAAGGACCTGACAACCAAAACTATCTTGGAAAATATTGCAAAACTTACAGTACTTAATTTCAAGACACTATAAAGCTACAATAATAAAACAGTGTTGTATTGATGTAAGGATCAATGCGCAGATCAATGACATAAAATAGATCATCCAGATGCACTGATATTACTGTCAATTGATTTTGAAAAAGGCGCTGAGATAATTCAATGGATAGGCAAAGATTTCTTGGGACACATAAAAGAAAAACTGATAAACTGGACTTCACCAAAATTAAAAACTTTTGTTCTTTGAAAGTCATCATTAAGAAAATGAAAAGGCAAGCCATACGTTGGGAGAAAACAGTTACAATACACATATCTGAAAAAGATTTGTACCCAGAATATATAGAGCTCTAAGAACTCAATCAGATAAAACAAACAAACAAACCCGGTTTTTAAAATAGACAAAATATTAGTATAGACACTTCATAAAAGAAAGTATGTGAATGGCCAATAAGTACATGAAAAGAAGCTCAACATCTTAAATCATCAAAGAAATGCAAATTAAAACCACAATGAGATATCAATACACACCTAGTAGAATGGCTAAAATTAAAAAGACTAGACAATATCAAGTTCTGGCAAGACTACTGTGCAGCTGGAACTTCATAAATTGCTAGCAGGAGTATAAACTGGACAACCACTTTGGAAAGTGACTTGGCAACTTCGCATGAAGTTAAATATATAGTTAGCATACAACCAGTAATCCTACTCCCAGACATTTGTCCAAGAGAAGTGAAAACATGTGTTCACAAAAATGACTTGTGCATGAATGTGCACAGCAGCTTCACTGATAACCCCCAAATGGAAACAATTCAAATGTCTATCAACAAGTGGAAAAATAAGCACATTATAATATACTCATGCAACAGAATACTACCAGGCAATAAAAAGGCAATAAAAAGATGTGACATGTGCAACAACATGGATCAATCTCCAAAACATTGCGTTGAATGAAAGAAGCCAGACACAAAAGAGTGCAAACTGTATGATTCGATTTATAGGAAGCATAAGAATAGGCAAAAGTAATCTTAGATCAGAACAGTGATTATCTCTGAGAGGACTGACTAAAAGTAGGCAGGAGGAAACTTTCTAGGATGATGAAAATATTTTGATTAGGACAGTGTTTACGTGGGGATATACATATCCCTACAATATATGGTTATCAAAACCCATCAAACTCTACACTTAACATGGGATTTGCTTTTGGGGAGAGGAAGGAGGATGGAAAATATTGCTTTGGGAAAAGATTTTTTATTGTACATACTTTATACAGTTAGGATTTTATATCAGGTACATATTACTATTTAACAATCAGATTTTAAAAGAAAAAAGCTATTAGGGAAAACAAACAAAAAACAGAACTATGGAACTGAGGCTGGATGCAAAAACAGAATAGACCGTACAGCAAAAGCCCTGAAACATTCAAAGCAAAGGGGCCTTATACTCACAAGACAGAAATAGTGCACGCTGAGATCATCTTTTTGAAGAAATTCCCCTAATTTTTCGGGATCCCCAGGTTCTTGAAGGCATAGCCGGCATACTAGAAGAAAAGAATGTTAAGAATTCGCTTTGGGAACATAACCATCTCTAAGTTTGTGGAAGAGTAGAGTATTGGGAAAAGGGTCATTTTGACAGGGAGGGAGGTTGGGATGAAGGGTTATTTAGTATCAATTAGGTTTTTATATAATTTTGGATACATCTGAATGAGTTGGCTCCAACAACTCACTTCATTTTTTGTCTTAAATGGCCTTAATTAACTTGTTTCTTGAACTTTGGTTGTGATGTTTAAAAATTACAGACCCTGAGTTCTTCAGCATCTTAGAAAATCTGGGAAGGAAATAGGATTGACAGTGAGAGGAACAAGTTTGTTGCCCTACACAAGTGGTCTTTACTGGTGTTGGGAGGCAGCAGCCGAACAGAACCTCCAGTCTTTCTTACCAGGCCCTGAAGATGGCTTCCTCTGGGTTACTCTCCTTGTCTTGGTAGATTTTCTATACAAGGAAGAAGTAGAATGTAGTCTTTAAGGATCCTGTCAATATCCCCTGTAACATTTCCCTCAAAATGCCATCCATGGGTTTGATGAAGGACCAAATCTAAAGGCTAAGATGTCCGTTTCTTTTGCTATTTCATATTTTTTGAAAGCACAAAACATACCTACTGAAATGTGTTAATTATGTGAGATCTTAACCATCTTCTTGTTCCTGGTGTCAGTATTGCATGTGTTGACTGAATGAATGCAGGAACAAACCCCCTTTTACCCTTTTACTGTTTCCTCTGTCACCTACTCTGAATTTTTATAGTAGTATCACATCCATAAAGCATAATAAAATGATACTAAAATTGATTAAGAAATTCCTATTGCTAGACATTATTCTTGGCTCTTTACATGTATTAGTTCAATGAATCTACAGAATGTTCTAAAAAGTGGGTGCTATTGTTATGCATATTTTCCAGATGCGGAAACTGAGGCATAAAGAACTGAAGTAACCTGTCCCAAGTCACCTGGCTAACAAGTGTTGGAACCAGGATATGAACCTAGGCAGTAGGGTTCCAGAGCCAGCACTTTGCTACTAGGAATAGCCTTGAGAGGATAGTACCCTACCTCGATCGTTGACATTCTTTTTTCTCTTCTATAGCCTTCATTTGTTGCTTCCTCTCTCTCCTATCTTGAATTTTTCTGTACTAATATGAGGACAGTACAGGCTCTTCCAGCTATAAAAACAAATCAGGCTTGGTCAGCAATTTAATTCCAAAGTTGGCTATCAAGTTTCACGGAGTCAAAGCAAAAGTACAGTTCAGTTCCCAACCCATATGACAGAATATAAAGGACCCACCATCAATGCTAGTAATAGCCAATAATTATTAAATCATGTCAAGAACCGTTCTAGACATTTTACATGTGTCAACTCACAAGCCCCCCCTGCAACCCCATGTAGCAGGTGCCATTATTATCCCTATTTTCAAGATGAGAAGACTGAGGCACAGGGAGGCACTTGCCCAAGGTCAGAGGTACTGCAATCACACAGCAGTACAAGAACTTAGAACCACTGCTGGAACTGGCTAAATGGTTGTTTTCCTTGTGCCTGCTAAATGCATGAGGTAGCACTCAGGAAAAAAGGCTCCTTTGCCCCTAAGTATGGGTACCTAGATTCTACCTAGTCAAAGCTGGATAAGCTAGTTCTTTCCTCGGAAAAGGGATTTCAGCTGCCTGAAACAACGACTCCCTCTAGTGAGAGACAAGAGATAACACTGACAAATCACCAGTTGGCTCCTGACACTTTTCACCAGGCTCAGATGGCCATTGAGGTTTGGTCTGTTCTCAACTTTTGTCTAGCTCTTCGAATATGAAGACGCCCTGACACTCCTCTCCTCATCAGTGTTAGCAGACTACAAATGTACCGTTTTCATTAGTTGCGGGGAGGTGGGGGGAATCCCTGAAAATGAAGGGGGACGAAATAAGTAAAATCGCTTCCAAAGGGAGGACTGTGTTTAGCCAGGGGAGAGGACAGCATTTCCGCGATCTGAGTGAATCAAGTCACTCCAGGGACACACACTCCAACAACCATGTCCTTACTGTACAGCGGGAGAGTGTGAACTTCTTTTGTGACTTTCAACTGTTCTGTATAAATACAACCACTAAGACAACTACTAAGGTAATACCGCCCTTCCTTTCTTTGTGTTTGCTCCATCTCCTCTTCTAACCCATGAGTCGCACCTGCAGAAGGAATGACGTTAGACGGCTTCTTACAGAACAAAAGCACTTGGACAGGCTGGCAGAGAGAGAAGGGCGTGCACTAGGGGATCCACTTGAGCTGACTACTGAGCAGTTCCGGGTTGTTGGGGAAATCCTGACTGTCTAGCAATAGAAATAAAACCTTGAAACTCCGATTCTTTGCATCGCTGGACCAAGACGTTCCTTGAATGGGGTTCTATGCACACTGGTAGTTGCAGGAAAGACGCAACACTCTTCAAAGCATTTGAGGAGGGGCGATACAAAGGCGGGCTTCCACAAGCAGATTTCCTAACCGAGCGGATGCTCTCTTGAAACAGTTACCAAGCTGTTTCGCTGGATAAGCGTTGGGTCAAAGCTTGTCGAGAAAGTTAAAAATAAATAAGCATGTTCGGCCCCGCCGCCGCCGCAAGAAAAAACAATGATTTATTTGGAAAATACGTGTCGGTGTGGCCACAACTGAACCCGAGGTAACAGCCAGAGAAGGGGCTCAAGGAGCATCCCGCAGATGCCAGACCAGGATCATGTCGCACCTGCCGGGAGGCTGGTGCGGGGCCGGACCGAAGGTCGCCTCGGCCGCTCACTCCTCACGGTAGCGCACGGGGTCTCCCACCCAGTTGTTGCCGAGGGCGCCGCTGTTCTGAAGCTTTATTCGTTGTGGCTACCTCACGAGCTGCCGCCCCACGCGGTGACAGCGCTGGCGAAGGGGGCGAGCGCGCAAACGGGGGTCAGGTCACGTGGCCTGCGACGCAGGGAGAATACGGCTGCGGCGACCACCGCGACGCCGACAGTTGGCAGAACGGGACGGGCGCGCGCTAACGACCGCGCGCGCGCCTTTCTTTTCGTCCCGCCCCTTCCCCTCGCGCCATTACACTGTTCTCGCCCCGCCCCTTTCTCTAGCCACGCCCTTCGCCTCGCCCCGCCCCCCCGCGAACCCGCCGAAGATGAGCTCAGAGGCGGGGCCAAGGCTGTCGCGCTATGGTGACGTCTATCACCGGCGCGGGCGGGTGACGTGACCCGGCCCGTTGTCTGTGTGTGGGGCTACGGGCCCCGGGGGCTTCGGGGGCTCCCAGCGAGGGCGGCGGTGGGTCGGGAGGGCCTGGACATGGCGTTGAGGGGCCGCCCCGCGGGAAGATGAATAAGGGCTGGCTGGAGCTGGAGAGTGACCCTGGTGAGGAAGGAGCCGGGGCCGGGGGCTGGGGAGGCCGGGTGGGCCTGGGACGCGCCTACCTGACCACCACCCGCTCCTCTTGTCGCCCCATCAGGCCTCTTCACCCTCCTGGTAGAAGATTTTGGTAAGAGCCTCTCCTATCCACCAGACTCGGGCTGTGGGGACCCACTCTTGCGTCCTGCACGGCCAGGGGCTGCCCTTCCCGACTTCTTTACTTCCCTGATCGCAGGTGTCAAAGGAGTGCAAGTGGAGGAGATCTATGATCTTCAGAGCAAGTGCCAAGGGTGAGTGGCTTCGCAGCAGGACTGCCCTTTATACCTCAAGGGCTAGGGAAGGGCCTGGGGAAGGATGCCCCTCAAAAGGTGTAGTATCAGGAACTTCAAGTTGTAAAGTCTCATTTAAGGAAGCATCGCTCTTCGTTGGGTGCCCTCCTGATCCAGCTGATATTTTTTTCTCCTGGTCTTCTCTCAGCACTTCCCTTCTCTCAGCACCTCCCCTGTCCTCCACCCCCCATACAAATCCTAACCTTCCTTTGGAGTACAGTTTAGCTGCCTTTTCTAGTCTTGGAGCAGGAAGCCAGCCCTTTCTCTACCTCCAGGTCACACAACACTTTCTGTGCAGCTGTAATTTAATTACTGTTCTAATGTGCCTGTGTGTGCCAGTGTCTTTAATCTCCACCGAAGGTTCTTGTGTTGATTAGTTGGTGTGTGGCCCCTCTTGGGTCTTGCTTTGGTGATGTTGCAGAATAGAAGTGTGGAGGAACTGCTGCAGTGACTGAATCAAGAAGTCTGCTTTTATTTCTCAGGAAAGAAGGGGCTGATAGAGGTGTTCATTTCTTTCCTTGGCTGCATTGGAGCCCAGGCCTTGAGGTTTACAAGTGAGAATTGGTGTTTAAATTCCTCATCAGAGTTTTTGTTCTTTTCTCACCTTCTATTGTTACCCTGTCCTGGGCCATCGGTTCCAGCTTTTTTCCTCTTATCCCAGAACCGTAGACTTCATAAGGACAGTGGGTGGACTCCTGGAGCTGATGCTTGACTGCCTGCGGCAGGCTTCTGGGGTGTGAGGCTCAGGGCCACTTTGGGCAGTGTTGAGAAGAAACCGGGGGAAAGGTGGGATTAGGGGAAAGGCATCTGAGTGGTAACACAGTGCAAAGGAATAGGGGGAGAAAGAAAGGGGATGCTAATTGCCTTCCCCCACCTAGCTCTAGCTCTGCCCCTTATTTTCCCCAGCCCCGTGTATGGATTCATTTTCCTGTTCAAATGGATCGAAGAGCGCCGGTCCCGTCGCAAGGTTTCTACCTTGGTGGATGATACGTCTGTGATTGATGACGATATTGTGAATAACATGTTCTTTGCCCACCAGGTCTGCCGGGCTCTGTGTTCTGTCTGGAGGGTGGGATATTTCCATTTTCTTTGCTTGGGAAGTGGAAGTGGGGCAAGGCAGGAGGAGGAGATAGGCAGATACCAAGGGTGGTGGTTATAGAAGTCCCTTGGTGGAAGAAACTGAACTCTTTATTAAACAAGGGAGTATCTTCAGAGCAGTGTGGGGTCTTGAGTCTACTCTCTATGTCCCCAGACATCTGATGGGTATTTAGTTGAATGAACAAATATTGGGCAAAGATGAGGGTTGTTGTCCACATATTACTGTCCCTCCCTGGGTCCCCATTCTTGGTGAATACGGGCTTCAATTGAGGGATGCTGTGTATGGGTGACTGTTCTTGGTTTCACAGCTGATCCCCAACTCTTGTGCCACTCATGCCCTGCTGAGCGTGCTCCTGAACTGCAGTAGTGTGGACCTGGGGCCCACCCTGAGTCGCATGAAAGACTTCACCAAAGGCTTCAGCCCTGAGGTAGGCCACAGTGCCTTAATCCTGGCTCACAGCTGGCTGGGCAGATCTGACTTCCAGGGCCACTGGTGATGCCGCCATGTGACATTTGGCACTTTGAAGCTTTTTCCTTTTTAAATAATGATTTAAATTACCTTTGACCCTTAAATTAATTGTGTAAGGCAATTAGTTTTAGGCTCAATTGTCAGGAAAGGAGATAAACCTAGGGAGGGAAGGAACACTCCTTAAATAACACCATTTTAGGACTATTTGTGTCAGCACTTTATCAAGCCATGTTGCTCCCCAATGTCCACTGATTACTGTGCAAGGATATTAGAGCCTATCTTTTTGGGGCTCCAGAGTTCTCTTCTGCCCTCAGGAGAGTCCACCAGTGTTTCTTCAAGTTCCTGGAATGCCTCTGGGCCTGCTTTCCTGAACTTTGTTTCCCACCCAGAGGATCCTGAGAATTTGTTTTGATGGCCTTATTTTCTTCCTTCTAGAGCAAAGGATATGCGATTGGCAATGCCCCGGAGTTGGCCAAGGCACATAATAGCCATGCCAGGTGTGTGGGAGCTGTGGGAGCTGATGGTGGTGGGATTGAGGAAGGACTGTCCCATTCTGGGCCCTGACTATGTCCTTCCCCAGACCTGAGCCACGCCACCTCCCTGAGAAGCAGAACGGCCTTAGTGCAGTGCGGACCATGGAGGCATTCCACTTTGTCAGCTATGTACCTATCACAGGCCGACTTTTTGAGCTGGATGGACTCAAGGTCTACCCCATTGACCATGGTAGGCACTCTGAGCTGGGGGCCCATTGGGTTTCTCTGCTTACCTACTAGGAAGCTAGGGTCCAGGGTCCTCAGGTGCTTGGGACTTAGTGGTAGGGGGTAGGTGTTGAGGACATCTGGCTCTGGCATTGCATTGCTTGACTAGCCCTTGACTCCCTGGCTCAACTGCTTTCCATCCTTTCTCCTACTCTTGCCCAAACTCCGGGCTTCCAACCTGTTGACTCCTCATCTTGGTCTTCCCTAGGGCCCTGGGGAGAGGATGAGGAGTGGACAGACAAGGCCCGGCGGGTCATCATGGAGCGTATTGGCCTCGCCACTGCAGGGTAAGTGTCCTGTGCCTGCTCTTCCCTTAAAGCTTTGTTTCCACTGAGAGGGACATAGGAAAAGGAACCAAGGCAGAGAGAAGTCAGTTGACTTGTGCAAGGCCACCTGGTGAATCTGCTTAGGTCTTGAGTTCCCAACTTGTTACCCTATTTCTGCCCAGGCTGCCTGTGGCCTGCTTTAGGATAGGCTCTGGAGGGGCAGGCAGGCCTTGGTGGAGCCCTAGGTGGTGCAGGTGTGTTGGCTCATTTCCTGCCAGGCCTCTCATACAGCCCATTGGAAGGTACCATCTCAGGTACCTTGCATGCATGGCCATCTGCTGCCTACTTGTTGGAGTGGGGCCTGTACCTATGGCTGATGGTGGGGCTGGGGTGGGAGCTGCCCTCACAGCTGTAGCTGTGACTGCAGGGAGCCCTACCATGACATCCGCTTCAACCTGATGGCGGTGGTGCCCGACCGCAGGATCAAGTATGAGGCCAGGCTGCATGTGCTGAAGGTGAACCGTCAGACAGTACTGGAGGCCCTGCAGCAGGTGGGTACCCTCTTTCCTGTTCCCTGCCTGGCCATCCCCTTCTCACTGGGACATTTGTCTCTGATTCCCAAACCATTCTGTCATGGATCTGGGCTTCAACTAACCACTCCCCTCCTTTGCACCCATCGAAAGGTGGGCCTTGGGGTGAGTAG